GATGTTATTTTCCCATATTGGCTATTGAGCCACATTCTAAATGCTTGGTTTGACCCACTTGCTTTCAAATGCATCTCTTGGTAGAGGTAGTTTAGGGTGGGGTATGTGAATGTGTGTGAACCTAATTTTCTCTTTATTTTCAGTGAAAATGAAAACCATTAAAATAACCCACACTGGATGTCACCCTCAGCTGGTTGTAAAAACAAAATGTGTATACAGTACCAAGGGCAAAGGTGTCTTACCACCCCCTTTCCCCGGTCCAACGCCCCCAGATCGACCTGAGTTTAACAGTGCAGTGGGACTTTCTGCGTAGACACACATCCCTTAGAGCTGCCGTGTATAAGCTGTGCCATGTGGGGGAACTACTCAGACTGGTGGACAGCCTGATGGGTGAGTGCGTGGACCCTAGAGCCAGACTGCCGGGGTTCAGATCCTATGTCCATCCCTCACCACCTGTATGACCTAGGGAGAATGATCTGGTCGGCCCTTGTGCCTTGGTTTACCCAACCATAAAATGAGGTCAGTACTACATTCTTATGTGTGTCAGAGGATTTAGTCAACTAATGCATGTAAAGTATTTGGAAGAGTTGGCTGTTGCCATCTTGATTTTCCAGGATCTCCACAGAGCATTCTGCTGGAGCCTGGCTCCAAATTTCTCCCCTGAGCTCATCCCTTCGGTGGCTCCTCCCTGCCCAGATATTAGGTTTAGGAGCTGGTGCTGATGTGCTGTGATCCGGTATCCAAGTCCCTGTCCTACTCTTACCACCCAGTGGCTTGAGCCTCGGAATCGACAGGGAAGCAGGTTTAGTACACTCAGTTCTCATTAATTAAGGCTTTACTACATAGGGCAACTCAAAAATAAAGTTAGGTTTTAATCATTATTAAGTCTTTCACTTAAAATCGCCATGTCCTACCCATGGGAAACCAGTCTGAGATCCACTTTGACTGGGCATCTATCAATAGAGATAGATTTTTTCTATTAATTTATTTGTATACTGCATTTGAGCTAACTTTATTTCCAGTGGCCTTCAATCACTGATGGTGGTATTATTTCTTCCTTCACTTCCCTACCCTTTCCATTCATCCCAACGATGTTTAGCTATCAACACATCGATCTTACCCACTGAATGCAGACGGTCTGACAGGGAGGAGTGCCTGTGTGAGAACAGATAGGGGGGCTGTCCCCAGGAGTGCAGGCCCTTCTTGTCACCCAAACCTATGGTCCAGCGCTGGCCCTGCCCACTAACTTTTGGCATAGCATGGTCCTTTGTGGCTCTGACAAGGTTAAAATTCATAAAACCATCGGGTTGATTTCTCAGTCTGTTGGTAGAGACCATAACATCACTTAATAGTTACAGATTTGAAAATCACCAGTTAGCCACCCATTGGTGCTGGGCAGAATCACTAACCAATGCTGAAAAGGAGCAAACCCTGTGGATGCCCCATCTGGGGCACTGTGCTGAGTTGCTGTGTGAGAAACAGTGTAATCTGGAAGGTCTCCTAGGTTCAAGCTGTAATCCTTGGTTGAAACCCCATCTACTGCCAACATTGGAGGCGTTACTGTTTGCTCGGCATGGAAGTGGGTTTGAACTGGCAATCTCACTCCCAAGATGCAGTATGCATCAATCTAATACCACACTCACCTGGCTTTCTAGAAGGATATAAGACAGGAAACACCACACATGCAGCAGCACCACCCCACTGGGAGGACCAGCACCCTGCACGCAGTTACTCTGCCGGTGAATCCACTGGGGACACGTTTGGTTGCTGCAGCTAAGGGCTAAGGTGTGGGTGGGTCAGTTTGATGCACAGATGGGACAAGCTGGGTCTCCTACCAATATTTTGTATCAGAGCCATGTAGGGCCAGGGTCTGCCACCACCTCATGGCTCCCGGCCAAGGTCAGCCCACACACAAGGGGCTCACCACAGATGGGGCAGACCCAGCAGCCCACATCTATCTTCAATCTGTACAAAGAACTTGGACTCATAGGTTGAGCCCAGGCAGCCTGTTCCCCCTCCCCGCAGCCCTCAGGGAGGCTTGTTGGATATGGGGTCAGTGGTGCAGAGGCTGCCTTGCCTATTCCTCTCAGGGGCTCCCAGATCCCCCAAAGTAACCCTGGGGTATAACACAGAGCTTGGGATTTAAGGCAGGCTGTTCAACACAACTTTTCCTATTTGCTCTTCACCCAGCTATTGCCACAGGGTAGGGCACGAAGGGACTCCATTTTATTTATAGAGGTGGGTGTCATTTGCTCAAAATGATTTCTCTAGCAAGTGACAATCAAGCCTGAGGAATCACGCAGGCCAGTCTACAAGCTGAAAATGCCTCCAAACCAAAAAACTCTATTATGACAATATCTGCAGTCTACTGAAAATGTCCCGTCTTACATGAATTACCTAGTATAATCTTCACAATAACTCTGTGAAGAGCAGTCTCACCATTTCACAGATGAGGAAGCTGAGGCTCAGAGAGGCTAGGTCATGGGTCCAAAGTCATCTGGCTCGTCTGTGGTAGAGTCAGACTCAGGTCTGCACAACCCAGGAGTCACAGCCTCACTCTTAACAGTGTGGTCGCTGGGCCAGCAGCACCGGTGTCACCTGGGAGCTTGTTGAGTTGCAGCACTGAGCTCCCACCAGGCCTGAGTCAGAATCTCCAATTTGGTGAGACCCCGGGTGACTTGCCTGCACCATTATTTGAGAAGGGCCAGGGGCATGGCTATCTGTTGGGTTTACCACACCTTTCCTGTGCAGGCTTGAACAACCAAGGCCCCTTCCTGGGCCATATAGTTTTCTGAAAATGTTCAAAAGTGTCAGAAAAAAAGAAATGGGTCCAATGGCTGGGGTTAATTCCCCAGAAGAACATCTCACTGGTTTGATGATTTTGAGATATCGCAGCTAAACAAGCACTTACAGAGGCTCAAGCAAAGCCATAAAACACAGTGAGAAGGGTGCATTTACACTCTGAGAAGAACCTGACGGTGCTGTGAATTACAGTGGGTCAAGATTATTTCCAGTCTCCACTTAGAGGAAGCTTTCAGGCCGAGTGGCTTAGATATAAAAGCATTCGCCTTAATGCTCCAGGTGAAAGGTGTGAGAATCCGTTGCTTGGTGCCAATTACATTTATGGACTTGTCCCCAGGAGTGCTAGGAAAATGTCGCTGTTAGTGCTGACATATCGGCAATGGTGGGCTCTGTTTAGTGGGGTTCTTTTGAAGACATTATTAATATATCCCATCACATTCTGTGACTCTGTCCATTATGGCAAGTCTATCGGGGATGGTTTTCGTGTAGGAACCCTGGAAGACGGGAGTAGCTCAAAGGCCATACTTCTGAAACCACTGTGCATACGAGCCTCCTGGGGTCCTGTCCCAGATTCAGCTCAGGTCTGGGTTGGGGCTGCTGCTGCCCTGACAAGTTCCCAGGTGATGCCGCCGCCACTGCTGCTGGTGGGAATGTGGTGGGAAGAGCGTGGGTGTCGGCATCAGATGAGTGCGGGCTCTGAGCTTGACTCTGACACTTGGCAGCTGTGTGATGTCGAGCAAGTTGCCTAACCTCTCTGAACTTCAGATTTCTCATCATGGGGATCACTCCTGCCTTTTAGGGCTTTTATGAAATTTAGGGCTAATGTATGTAGATTTTCTTCCCAGTCCCAGGGTAAAGGGGTGAGATTCATCCTCCTGTATCACCTTCACTGCAGGTTCAGCTGAGACCCATTTTTCTTTCCTAAAGTAGTGAATTCTCTTATTTCAGGCCCAGGTTTCTTAGCCTCAGCACTATTAACATTTGGGGCTGGATCATTCTTAGTTGTGTGGGGAGGTATCCTGTGCACTGTAGGATGTTTAGCAGCACCCCTGTGTCATTAGCACCACCTCTCTGACTTGTTATCCAAACATATTTGCAAACATGGCCAGATGCCCCTGGAGCCGGAAACCAGGAAGCACTGTTCTAGCAGTAATTCCTATCAGTGTTTCATTCAACATGTGCTGTAAACCTAGTCTGGGCCAGATCATATGCCAGGAATATATTGCTAGTAAGACAAACAAGGGCTTCGACCTTGGAGGTCCAAGAGGATGGAGACTATATCCTCTTGGAGTCAGTCTCCTCAACTGTTAAATGGGTGTAGTCAGACTGCTGACCTAGAGTCGCCAGGGAGATGAAATAAGACTCGCAAATGCCTGGCCCTAGGGTCCAGGTAAGTCAGTGGCAGCAGGTATGATGAGCCTCATAAACAACTGTGGGTGCTTGGGGAGAGGTGAGTGTAGACAGGGACAGCTGGAGCTGGAGGGGTAGAGAGAAGACAGGAGGTCTGGGCTATGCTGGGCAGGCGGGGACAGGTCATGCTGGGCCCTGGGGGAAAGTGAACAGGAGAAGCAAGCCAGGGGAAAGGGCGCTCCAGGGAGAGCCAAGGGCGGCAGGACGATGGGAGCCATAGAGTGAGTGACAGGGAGGGATGGAAACAGGAGAGGCACACAGAAAAAGACAAGACAGACAGATACATGCATTTTGGTTATAAAGGGTGAAAGCAGAAAACAAAGGCCACCTGCTACGTGCATAGGGTGCCACCTACTCCTGCTTCCTCCTCCCCCAGGGCCCTCTGCAGAGGGGCAGGGACAGAGCACCAGCACTGCAGCCATGATGGGAAAGAGGCTTCAGTGTCTCAATTTTCATGGTGTTATTACAGTAATTGTGGTGACAATATTTGTAAGAAGATAGCAGAGGGGACCATTAAAGACTATTGGTGCAGCCCTGGCTCCCCTGACCCAAGCGAAGTGCAAATGGAATCGAGTTGAGAACATTTGCCCAATCTGACTGAGCAGCTCTCGGAAACATCCTGTAACACACTGCAAGTCAGCAGCACGAGAACACGGACTTCCAGCCCAGAGCAACAATGTTCTCTGGCTGCTACTGAGAGGCAGCAACTGACTCCCAACCAAACAACTGTCCTGGATCATATAAGGTCATGTTTGCTAGATTTAAAATATGGTAACATCTCAAGCAGGTCACACTGTGAACCTTTTATTTTTATTAGAACTTATCAGAAAAACGGCCGAGGAGCCGTGCCTGCAGATGTGATGGTCAGGTTACTGGTTCCACAAAGATCTTCCACAGCTCCTGCAGCACACAGAGAAAGGAGAAATGTCTCAGATGCACAAACGGAGTCGCAGTTTCATAAAGGGGTGTAATTAGCAAAGAACAAACACGTGGGCCAGGGGCAGAATGCAAGCTACTGCAGGAGTGGGGCACTCCAGGCTGTTCTTTTTGCTTCACTGTGGAAGGGAAGCTGGGTGGGTAAGGCCCAGCAAGCATCCAGGAGGCGTCAGGAAAACCACAAGATCAAAACAGACCAGAGAACGGCAGCAGACTGCCACAGTTCCTCCATTTAAGGAGGGCTTTAGTGCCATGTACCACAGCTGCCAAATTTAGAAGCAGTTTTTTTCTTGGCCACAGGTGAGGAGGTACAACCACACACTAGGTTCTTGGTGGAAACTTCACATCCTGTTAGCTGTCTACCGGGAGGCTGACAAGCAGCAAGGTACCGGGCAGGGAGGCTGCCCAGAGGCAGCACAGCAATAAATGGAAGCAGAACGTTGGGTAGGGAAGAAGACTGGTAAGATTCATTTGAAATAAGGTGTTGGAGGAAAGCTCTGTGAACAAGTGGATCCTCGAGCAAATCAGGGCTTACACATCGCTGGAGGCAAAAATGACACAACTAAGCTGTCCTACTTTGGGCGCATCTTGATGGGCGGGGCTCTTTGGAAAAGGTGGTAATTCTGTGAAAAACAGAAGGCAGCAGGAAGAGAAGGGACAAGTATGAGATGTACTGCCTCCATAAAAGAAGCCATAGGCACGAGGAAGGCTGAGCAGTGCCACTGAGGACAGGACACTGTGGGCATCATGCATTCAAAGGGTCACTGGGAGTCGGAGCCCACTCAACAGCATGTGAACACACACCTCCTTGCAATGGCAACCACACACATGCCGTGCTGTGCTTGCTTCGGGAGCAGGAGCGTGAGAGAGAGGACCCTGTGTGAGCCTCCTCCCCCTCTTTCCTCCTTAGAGCCAGGCCCAGGTCTCCAGACCCAGAGAAAGGGAGGCCACAGCTAAAAGGTAATGAGTGTAAAAGATACAAACTCTGAGGCTTTGGACTTCTGTGAATCCAGCTCCTGCTAATGTTACAGAATTTTCAAGAGTAATTTTGACTTTTCAAATTTTCTCCAAGGGCTGAGTTTAAAATAGCACTTGGAAGTCATGTGGCTCTGCGGTGCCCTGGCTGAGTGACCTGCTGTGGTAGTAACTGAGACAGTGATGAAATAGGCTCAGCATAACACCTGGCACAGGTATTGTTATTAGTATAACATAAGAGGAGGAATGTGGTGGGATCCCATTGTGCAAGGTCAGGAGGGTCATCAGTGCCTAGTCTGAAAGGCCAGCACCTTTCCTCCATAAAGATGTGACCATCAGCACCGAAAGTCCCTGCATCAAGATCTTCAACCCAACCAAGTGCCTCTCACTGACTTCCTGTTCCCCAAACAATCTTCCGCCCTCGGGCCTGCTTCCTCTGGTGTCTCAACTGCTACAGGGAAGGAACTTGCTACAAAATTGATAATGCACCTGGCAGGCTCACCCCTGGACATGGTGACTGTTAAGAGCAGGGTGGGATCCCACCACAGGCTTCACTAAAGAGAACACTTTGCCCAGATCAACAGCATCATGCCAGGGCAGCAGTGGCCCCGAGGCAGGTGGCCGCACCTACCAGCTGCCGGATGCGCTCATACACGAGGTACTGAGGGAAGGAGGCTTCCACTGGCTCCACTGTAAAGCGCAGCTGGCCATCCCTGTGCTTCTCCAGCTGGTGCAGGGAGGAGTGGAAGTGGTCATAGGCTTCACACGTGACATCCAGGTGACTCAGAGTGAAGTTCAGCCTGCAAACAAGTGGCCAGCATTCTGCCCATCACCACTGGGAAGGTCTGATCATTCTCTCACAACCTGCCTTCCTGCTGCCTCTGATCTCATGCATGCCTCAGAGTTTTCACTGGGTGCTTACTGTGTGCTGAGCTTCTATGCTCACTGCCTCTCTGAGCCTGTAGGACAACCTGCAGGGTGGACGTGGCTACCACCTCCATTTCACAAGTGTGGAAACTGAGCCTCAGAGAGGGGAAGTCACGGGCCCAAGGCAACACCACTGCCCTGAGGGGCTACCATTGGTGCAGGAGTGGGCACAGACCAACACCTGAGGCTGGGGCTCTGTGTGCATGTCTGCTCACCCCGTTGTCGGCACCCAGCACAGATGTGGGCATGGCTTGTTCATGGCTCTTTGTAGGATGAATGGCTAGAGGGCGGTGGCAGAGGGAGGTGCAGAGGCCTGTGAGAACCTGGTGGGCAGAGAGAATGCTGCCAGGAAGCTGGTGGGGTTGGGGAGGTTTCGGAGGGCGACTTCAGACAGAGTCCTCACAGAGCGTCTCCAGTGGGGCCACTCACACCTTTGCACACCTTGGTGGGTGACACAAGTAATGTGAAATTTGAACTCTTTGCCTCTTTCCCTTCTCTCCCCAAAATCTTCTATTATGAAAATATGATGAGATATAAAAAGAGCGAGAACAGGATATGAACTGCCTAGCTTCAGCCACTGTCACCTCTGCTCCCTTCCACCATTAGATTAAAAGGCAAATGCCAGACATCACAGTTATTTCTTCCATACATACGTCTGTGTGCATCTGAAGGATCTTTTTGCCTAAAACATATTCAATGATAATTCTTTACCACTAACTATCTCATCAGTATGCAACTTTCCCCGACCATCTTAATGTTTTCCTCCCTGGTCTATAAAACTAGAACTCAGGCGAGGTCCATGTGTTGCCAATGGTCACGTGGGCTTTGCTGGAGGTCCTAGGAGAGGGGTGTCAAACTCTTGTCTGACAGCCCCGGGGGGGCCACATCAGCCTGCAGCTGCCTTCTAAGGGCCGAATGTAATTTTAGGGCTGTGTAAATGTAACTACCCCTTAACTAGGGGCAAGAAGCTCGGCGCTGCTGGGTAGAAACAAGGTGCCAGGCTGGATAAAACAAGGTGGAGGGCTGGATTTGGCCCATGGGCCTTGTGTTGCCACCTGTGTCCTAGACACTATCGATGTAAACAAGTGGGTGGCTTTGTACAGAGCTGTGATTGCTTCCACAGGCTGAATTTCTAGATGCTGAATTGCTGGGTCAATAATTCTGTTTGGTTTTATGGCTTTTGATACATATTCCAAACTGCCTTCAGAAAAGCAAGAGAAAATTGTGCACAGAGTGTCTGTCACTCTACTACAAGATGAACACTCCATCAGTAGGAGCCTGAATGTCTTAGGATATTCAAGCAGAAATGTCCTGGAGAGGCTGTGTCTGCAGCAGGGAGACCTGGGGGACCCTAGGAGACAAAAGGCATCCCAGAGGAAATGTTCAGAAAGAGGACAGGCCCTTGACAGAGTATGGTGCCCACGCGGCTCTGCTCTGGTGCATGGCCTGCACGCAAGTCCTCGACTATTCACTGACTAGCTGTGGGCCAGGTTCCCTGATGTGCCTTGGACATCTCTTCCGTCTGAAAAAGGTAACGGCAGTGCCGGCACACAGGCGGGGTTGGTATGTGGGTTAAACTGAAAGGAAAGGACATACAGAGGGTGTCCTGACGGACTCAGTGACAGTACCCCGACACTTGCAGAAGGTGAGAGACTAGCTCTCGGGAACGCTGGCATGGCCCCCGGCGCGGAGCTCACCTCTTCTCCACAGAGAGAATGGCTGTGCAGGCGTTTTTCAGCTTGTGAGCGAGCCGGAACAGCGTTTTAAACAGAGCATCAGTTAACTCGTCATCATAAAACACTGTGGGGAAGAAAAAGGGCACAAAAGGAAAACATACAGATAGCAGAGAAATCTATTCCTCAGAGGACCCCATGGGCACTGTGGACTGAACCCTTACAAACATGGCAGCAACAGCCCTCAGAATCGACACTGCACGTAGACGTGCAGAATGTCCTGGGAAGATGCTTCTAACAAGTAGAGAACTCTGGAGTGGCAGAGATGCTGCACTTGGCTACACGTGGTGAGGACACTGGCTGTGAGGGGAGGGCGTTCTTACCCTCGGCCGCAAGCATTATGGTGGTGTGGTTGTACAGGTCGGAGATGTCTTCCTCTGACCAGCTGAAGGGGACGTCGCGATCTGTGAGGAAGGAAAAAAGGCTATTCTGTGCTCCCTCCTTTCTCATGGGAGACTGACTGAAAGAGGCTTCGGGAGAAGAAATGGGGTTGGGTTGCTCGATGTGGTGGGCACTGCCAGGCAGCCCCAAACCCCAGGGCCCAGTTTCAGGGACAGGGCTGCCCCTGCAGAGACCCAGAGTGAAAGAGGTGCCCTTTCTGCTAGAGGGCAGCTGCAGTCAGTGAGGGGCAGGCAGACTTTGGTCCCACCCTTTGCCTTTCTAGTAGCCTGTGCAGAACATGATCTGTACTTGTGTCCATGGCTCCTGACCCTGACCAATCTGGGTTTTAGGTTCCACACTAGAATGGTTTCCTCAGAGGACGGCTGGGGAGGTGACAGGACCTAAGATATGCTACATGGCTGGTAGGTGACAGGAATTCAATAAGCAATGATCTTCCCCATTTGATGTCTTACATGGAAAAGAAGTTTTCATGCAAAGAAAGAGCAAGCATACAGGTGTGAAACAGTCTGTATGAGAAATTTAGAAAACCCTTGCCCAGGGTCCTAGAGCCATGTGGCTCCCTGCTGTGGGCAGGGGGCAGGGCATCAAGTACAGGTGGTTGCCCGGCACCACTGTTTGCAGAGAAGTGGTCCAAGCCCTGGTACCTGAGACCTGAGCTCACACCCTGACCCTGCCAAGTACCAGCTGCACAGCCCTGGGTAGGCATTTACCCCGAGCATCAGTGTTTACTCATTATTCAAGGATTATTGTAGCTACTGTACAGTGACACTGTGAGGTCTGAATAACATGAATGCAAGTGTCCGGCATGCAGCAGGTGCCCAAGAATGACACCTGCCACTTTCAGCTGATAGAGAGAACTTGCTGTAAGCTGTGGACTGTGGCAGCAGCCGGGACTCTGCTGTCAGTCAAGGCCACAGGGCCAATGGCCTTGAGATGTTACCAGGAACCACTGAATCAAATAGGATGTGAGAGGAAGACACGTACCTGTGCAGAGGTTGTCTTTCAGCCAGTCCAGTTCTCTGACCTTAACTACACTGCCTGTAAAATATAAACAAACAACTTCCCAAAGTCTACAACAATTAGGAAAAAAGAGAAACTTCACACTGTAGACCAAAACCCACCCGTCCATCCATCCTCTCACCCTTCCAGTATGTTCCCTCACTCCTTCCTACCCACCCATCTTCCCATTCTTCCCACTCATCCATATATATCCTCTCTGTCTTCTACCCAACCATCCATCCAGCATTTTTTGAGTGCTAAGTATCAGGTCTTATGTCAAACACAAGAAATACAAAGATTTAAGAGGCATGTGCCCAACCTTGGGGACTACAGCTGAGGGACTGGCAAGTTAGCAGACACAGACAAAGCAGTTCGGTCACGGCAATGTTAAAGGGGTGTGTCCGGTGCATGGGGGAGAGAGGAGCTCGTGTCAGATGGTTGGGGTGGGGGTGGTTGTCAGGAAAGGCTCAGAGAAAGCGATTCACACCTGCTCCTTCCTTCCTGTCCTTCCTGATTCCTATACACTGGGCATTCAACAAACAGCACAGTGGTTGGGCTCACAGACAAGGCCCCTGCCCTCATTCGGCATGTGGTCTAACAGGATGGCAGACACCAGCCAACCAGTCACATAAACAAATTTCAAATGCAATGGTTCAAGGTGTCATGAGTGTCTATTACAGGGCTGTGACCACATCTAGAGTTCTGGAGACCTAAGCATAATCAGGAACCAATAGGAAGAAGAGGGAGATAAGACCATTCCAGGCAGAGGGAACAGCAACTGCACAGGACCCAAGGGAAGAGGAACCTCCAACGAGGCCAGGATGGCTGGAGTGGAGGAACCACTTGTGTGCAGGGCTACAGAGAGGCAGGGCCAGACCCTGCAGTATCTCAGACAAGCAAAGGAATTCAGTCTGTGCTCAGAGAGCAATGGGAAATCTCTCAAAAAGTCTGGTAGCTGGAATGCCCTCATCTGAATCTGGAAAAGTACCCCAGGCTGCTCAGAGGAGGATGGTCTTGACAGGCAGTTTGGTGAGGAGCTGGCTGCTGCCATATAGCGCATAAGCTTATTCCTACAGGTGGGGCAGAACCTGAAGATCAAGCGGGTAGGGGAGATCTTCCTCTGATCTTTCCAGACAGAGGAAAGAACATGTGAAATGAGTCCCTGGCTCACTGGATGCAGAGCTGGAGCTGGACTGCTAGGAGAGGAAGCAGGAAAAGCAGGCAGGGGCTGGACCAGCAGGTTTGGGAGCCAGAGGAAGAGCTTGGACTTCACCCCTTGAAGGGGTCAGGCTTGCATCTAGAGAGATCACTCTGGATGCTACATGCAGGGCAGCGTGGTCAGACAGGCAGCTAGGTGATTGGGCAGGGGGCCACTATGATGTCCAGGAGGGAGAGGGCTGAAGTAGAATGTGGTGGTGGGTGTGGGAAGGGGAGATGATGCCAGGAGAGAATCATGGAGGATGCGAAGCTCCGAGAAGCTAAGACTGTGTCTGCTCCCTGTATTCATCTTGGTATAGAGGGAAGCAGAGGGAACCCCATCTCTCAGGGTCACGATGTGGGGTATTTGTCCCACTTGCCGAGGACACCTCCCTCCCAGGTGGAAGACCTGCTGGGCCTCACCTCCAGAGGCAGTCAGGTGGCTGTTGAGGGCAATATTTCGCTGGCACATGGCTAAGAGATCTGCTCCAACATCTGGAATGACAGAGGGTGTGACATAAAGTATCAGCCGTTATGACACTTTTATCTCTCAACTTTTGCCTGGAGACAGCTGGTATCAAGAGCATGATGACAGAAACGTGCAAAAACACGGTCACCTGAAGGCTCTAATAAATTTTAAATAAGAGATGATCGTCCTAGTGGAGAGACACTGTGCATGCCAGAGGGAAGGGCAAGCGCTCCCCTTCTGTACATTTTGTGAGCTTATGAACCTGCACGGCACTTCTCCCAACCCACCCCAAGTGTTTCTAAAAACCCCGTGACCTGGTATCATGGTTCCCATCTCACAGAGGAAGAGACTCAAGGAAAGTCACGTAACTGCTAAGAGCAAGGGCTGGGATCTCAACCCAGGTTATGTCTGACTCCAAATTGAGGCCCATTCTTTGACACTACGGAAAACTGACCAGAGTTAGAAGGGTGTTTGGCTGAGATTAATGGATATGCAGAGCAGACTCAAACAGGCTGGAGGCACGCTCTCCTGTGCACGATTCGCTGTCACTGCCAACTGCACCTTCCCCCAGCTCCCCGCCACTCTGACCAGGTGGAGAGTCCTATCATTTCAGCAGAATTGAGTTGCAGTGCAATGAATCCTTGCTGTAGGGGGTGAGGGGAGGTAGAGGGGACAGTGATTTTTCAAAAAATTAATTTTTAATTAAGAGAACTTATGTGTGGAAGGTACAGAAAAGTCTTGTTAATGACACCTGCCTGTGCACTGTGGCTGTGATGTCCCCATCCCACCTGCTGTCTCTATCCCATGGACCGTGCAGAGCCTGGTAAAGAGGGACAGCTCCCTGCTCACAAGTGGACACACCTATCCCTTCTCCTGGGCCACTGGGTAAAGAGAATATTGATGGTGTGTGCCTGATAGCACATGACTGATTCAGAAGTTTTTAAGCCTGTACAATAGTTCTGTCAAAACAGATCTTGTGTGGGATTCTAACATATGAAACAGTTGAGTGGCAGCTCTGGCTGAGTAGAGGTGGGAGCCCTGGAGCCCTGGGGCTGCTCCCCCACCCCTTATTGCATATGACCTTGGCCAGCCATTTGACCTTAGCCTCAGTCTATCCATTTGGACAAAGGGATGGTGGCAACTGCCCAGGGTCAATGTGAAGTTAAGAGCAGGTACTGATGTACATGAAAGGCTTTGCTAACCATAACGTGCCATCCAAGTGCATGCTCTCTTCTCCGTGTTGGTAAATTGCTCTCAGGCATAAGACAACTTGATTTCATCCTGCTATTAGGCACTAGGCATAGAACACAGCTCTTGGGTGTTACCAGGTGTGTCTCTGAGAAGGGCTCACTGGCAATCTACATGAAATTGTCAAGGAGCCTCAAACAGGGTGGTTACCTGCAGGTTCCTGACAGTGGTTAACCCAGGATACCTGAAAAGTGTGCCTGAAGCACAGGGAATCCCTGGCTTCCTCTTTTCTATCTCAGGAGCAGCCCAGGAAAATGTGAACTAAGAATCAATGACATGCAACCCCCCTCAGCAGATACCATTTTTGACTAGTACATATTAAAGATTTAAAACATAATACTAATACTTATACTTCCCAAATGAGATAATACTCTCATAAACTGTTAACACTCTTCCTGTAAGAACATGTTGGGAAGTTTGGAGTTTAGGTGACAGCACCACGCTCATGTCAGTTTGCCGGTTTTCATCAAGTACAGTTATGTAAGGTATTTGTATTGAAGGGAGCTGGTGAAGGGTACGTGATACTTTCTGTGCTCTTTTAGCAACTCCTGGTGAGTCTGATACTTCAAAATTAAAAATTAAAAAGGAAGTCAGCTGGCAATACGGATCAAAAACTTAAGAAAGGTCACGCTCACTCGTAGGAACCTTGTCTAACAATGAACAAAGGTGCTCACTGCAGTGCAGCTGACAAATGCCGACCAAACAAAGGCACCACTGGGACGGTCGAAACGCCCACCCAAAGAGCAATGGGAAAAAGAGAAGAAACGTTACTTGGTCATTAAAACCCTATTCATAAGTAATTTTCACTGACATGGGAAAATACTCTCAAAAATATCTCTCACTATTTTTGGAGGATACAGCACTGAACACACCCAGTCTAACAGCAGCGATGGTTTGGGAGTATGTGTACACTACGGAAAAGAAAAAAGATTAGGAAAGAAATGAGTCAAAATATGGATTCTAAAACACGCTCTCCAAGGACAACAACCTTATCTGTTTTATTCACTCCTGGATCTCCTGCACTTAGAACCAGATCCAGCACATAGTAGGTGCTCCATAAACTGCATATGCTTGACTGAACTGAGGGATTCTAAAATTATGAGTAATTTCTATTTGCTGTTCTCCATAGGTTTTCCACTAAGAGTAAGCAAAGTTTCTATAATCTGGAAAAAAAACAAGAAGCTTGTTTTTAAGCCTTACATAAGGCACATTCTTTGTGGTTTTTGAGATGTTTGTTCTTTCATGGGGGTGTGATCAGAGGCACCCCAGCAGAGCCACTGGCAACTTCTGAAGCGGAAGTGGGTGCTTTGACCAGCCACCAAGGACTGGGTGTTGTTGGGTCATTCTGACATTGAGAAAACAGTGCAGAAAACCATGCAACAGAATAGCAAAATCATTAGCAGCCAATGTCCCATTTCCACTTCAAACTTACTTTTTACACAGTCAGTACACGCTCTGTGAAGAGATGACTTCCCCTGAGGTGGAGGTTGTGGGCGTTACCTGTACAATACACGGTCTGAGCCACCGTGGCTGCGATGATGCTGGTGAACCCCATGCCTGCCCCGAGCTCCAGCACAGTACGTCCCTGGAAAAGGTCCCACTGGAACAGAATGTAGTCAGCCAGGAACAGGGCACCACGCCACACCTGGGGGAAGATGGACAAAGAATGACAGGTAATGTGAGGCTCTGGGGAGATCCTTCAGGGTCATGGGAAGTGGACAAGACCTACCCACCTGCTTGCCAACGTCATCCAGGGGCGTGGCCATGGTGTGTTCTGGACAGGATGGAAATCAAAAGAGAAAGGCCACTGTGAAAATGGGGATGGATATAACACAGATGAGGAGCATGGCAATCTGCAGGCATGGTGGGATAGGCACTGGGGCTGAGTGTCTAAGGAGTAGCAGAAACTCAGGCTGTGCTACCAGTTGGAAGGGGACATCTGAGCATCACTCACAAGGCCAGGCGCCAGGGCTCACTCTCAGATAGCTGGATCTCTCTGCCCCACAGTCTGAAGGCCAGAGTCATAGCAGGCCAACCTAATCAAACAGTGCACACCCACGTTCCTCTTTTTATGTTTAGTGCTGCCTACTAAAATTGGCATATTTCTGTTTGTGATAAATGATATGCTTATAACAATCACAACTCATCCCAAAATATTTCCTTATACTTCGAACCACAAGACAAGTTAACAAAATAAACTCTGAGTTGTATATCCTTTTATAGGTGAAGAGAAGTATGTAAAATGTATTCTGAAGCACAAAATATGTTTGGATAAAATCTGGTGGTGGCAGTTGGGGGAAGAGAATAGAAATATGAGACCAAGGTGAAAAAGGAATGATGGCAAGCACTTTTGCTGTTATGGCTCTTACATTTTTAAGTGAGTTGGTGATGGCTATCAAACTTAAACACGCACACAACACATGCATAGTAGGGTAGCCTCGCATGCTTACTGGACTTGCAAGAATCAAACCATAAGCTCACAATGAACAGGAGGCGGGACTGAGGGACCCAGGAGGGAAGGAGACAGCAAGGCTGGAAGCAATGTGGGTGATGCTCCCCTCCATGAGGGTCTGCCCTAGACAGTAAGATGGGCAGTCTGCATGTTACTTATTTTTGGTTCCCTTAAGCACTTAAGGTATGAGCACCTCTTGGTCACAAGGGAGCTGCCATGTTTACAGATGAGTGCTATTTCTTCAGCTGAGATCCAGGACTTAAGCCAACTGCTCTGCCCTGGTGCTCACCTGAAGCAGCAGCTGTCTGTCCCCAGGCCAGGTGAGAAACTGGTTGTATGTATTCCTCCTGGGACCCCAGGCCACTGTTCTGAGGGTTACTCCAGAACAAATCTGATGAGATTTCTGTCCTTCAAGCAGATTTAGAGTCTTGATCCCTGAATAAAAGGTGCTTAATGCACTGCCCACAACATCTTGGCTGGTTTTGACACTGTGGTTTGGAAGAAGCCACTTTTAGTAAAAACACGCTTTCAGAAGGACTTCAGATTGCTAAAGCCCAACATGTACCCACTTGCTTTGAAACTAAAGCGAGAGTTCCATCGAAACACTGAGTTCCAGTGCTGAGTCCCTCACAGGACACTTACTAGATGGACGCCTCCCCAATCCAGGCCTGGGCTGCAGGGATTTTACTTTACCTGATCTTCACAACGGCCATGGTGGGTAGTTATCACCACCCTATTTCAGAGATAAAGACACTGAGACTGGCTGAGGCTTGGCATTATGCCTGTAAGAGTTACAGGGAAAGTGTACCTTCTCCAAGCCAGACACTGTGCTAAATGTTTTGCCAGTAAGATTCCACTTAGCCTTCAAAACCACCCAGTGAAACAGGTTGAAGTGCTGGCTTAAAGATGAGGAAACGAGGCCAGGGAAATGGAGCAGGCCACCCAGGGTCACAGAGCTGGCAACTGGAAAACACAGGAGTTCAAGTCAGACTGCCTGCGGTTTGCCTTCCTCTCCTTCCAGAAGGGAGAAATGTTCCTTTCTCAGTGGGGAAGGACCTGAATGGGTGCCCAGGGACACGGTTTAAAACACAGGGACTCACCTTGCAGGCTGAAGGCTTGTGTGTTGGGGTTGGGGGTAAGTAAAGAGGCCTCGTTTTTATAGTCCTTCTCCAGACCCTCAGTGTCGGCTGCCCTACCCCGTCCCATCCGTTTCCTCCAGACCTGCAGCCCCTACACACCCCCTTCATGTGGGCCTCCTGCAGTCTTCCCTTCTTTCCCTCAAGTCTGCCTGGCCCAGCGTCCTTGGAGTCCTCTGCTCCCCATCCCCAGGATCTCAGTCAAACGTGATCATTTTCTCCAAGGGGTTTTATGGGCATTAAGTTTTGCCTTCTAGCTGTATTTAAGGGGTTGATTCCCTTTATAGAGACTGAGCTCAGACAGACCTGTGTGGGGACAGGTTTTGTCACATTCTAGCCGGGTGACCTGAGTCACTGAATTCCTCAGAGGCAGAGCCACAGTTTGCTTTTTAAACAAAATACAGACATAACATCACTACCTCATTCATGGGCTTAATTGTCTCCCTAACCAGGGCTGGGGTGGGGGAAGCACTCCTGCCCCAGTGGAAAGTCACAGTTTATATTAAATAATTCTGGTAGCATTGTAAGGACAGAAGAGCCCAGCCTGATGAACGCAGCCATGAGAAACTCAAGGGTTAGCTAATGCAGTGAGACAAATTGTTTTAGAATCTGATCCAGATCCTGACACTGTGAGGGTGGTCTCCAGACCTGCTGGAAACCAGACTTGCTTCCTCAGCCAGTTTCCCTTCTCTCTGCTCAAATCAGTTCCCAGGAATTAAAGCTGCTGGTATCTCACATTTATCGAACACCTATTATGTGCCAGGCACTGAGATAAGAGCCTTACACATGCCATCTCTCTTACTTAGCTCCTCACAACTAGAGGAGGTTATACCCATTTTACAAAGAAACTGAGTTCTGGGAGGTTGAGGGTCTTGTCCAGTTCACACAGCAAGTGGAAAAGGCACTTGGCACCCAACAGCCTGAGTTCCAACCCTTCCCCTTGAGAGTTTTCTTTGGGTCTCAGTTCCTGTATCTATAAAATGAGGGGAACTGATCATAATTTACTTTGAGCCTCGGGTCTGTGGCTTCCTAGCAGGTGCATGAATACACTTTTTAGGTTTTTGATAATCCCTTGGAAAACAGATTGTCCTTCCCCAGGGAAGTTTTTTTTTTTTTAAATCAGTTTCTTAAATGAGCCCATAACCTGGGGGGGAAAAAACGACTTTGTTCATGGATCACAGAAAAATGATGGTCAGGAGAGTGACATCTCTTTAGCATGCACCCTGTGCCAGGCCCCGTAGTAGGCACTTTCTGGGCATTATTTATTAAATTACCACCAAAAGCCAGGAAGGCCACCTCACAGGTGCAGAAACTGAGGTTCCAGGTGGTCAAGACACTTGCTCAAGGTCACATGGCCTGTGAGTGGCAGAGGTCAGTTCAAAACTCAAGCTCTGCAAGATACCAGAGTCCAAGATCCTGTCTCCTGTGTCACAGTACTATGGCAGCAGATGAAATAATTACCAGTTATGCTTACACTCAAGAACTTGATTACATTTCCACTCTCCACCCTCAGGACAGGTGGGGACTGACTGACAGTGAGCTGAAAAGGAAAGTGAACTTCCAGGCACCAGGAGACAGGAAAATTGGCTCCCCTGCTGGGGAGCAGGCCACACATCAGCCCTTTCCCGTGGGACTTTATTCTTAGCTTGCAGCATAGTAAATCCCCAGAACGTTAATCACATGCACACCAGAGGCCACAGACTCATGAAATAACCAAGTCTGCACCTCTCCTCCTTGGGGAGGCCAAGTGAGGACTGAGAGTGAAATGAGCCACCTTTGATGCCCCCACCCCCGCGCCGAGAACAGAAATTTGCAATGTTCTGATCACATGACATGGGTAAAAATGTGGGCTGTGGTGTCAGACAGACCTGGGTATGAATTGTGGCTCAGATAAGCCTCTGCACCTGAGGCTCTTTTCTCTCAGCATCTGAGCCTCTGGTCCCTCCACTTGGAAATGGGAATAGTCCTCAGGAAAGAAAGGCTGTGAGGATCAGAATTAATCCACGGAACACACAGAACAAGGTTCTGATGTGAATTCCATGCCTGGTACTCGCTGGTACTGGCGGGACAAGGATACTCCCACTGGAGTGGTCTCGAACACAGCCTGCCTGGTGCCAGCAGGTGCTCAGTAACTGCCAGTTCAATAGATGGGCGGATGGAGATCAGAGCTGCTATTCTGTCTGTTTTTGAGAGTACCTCGATGGACTCCATGCCCCAACCCAGGTCAGTGCACAAATTCTCAATGAACAGACTCAAACCAGAGCTCCTTTCCCCAAAATTAGCAGTGCTGGGGCGACAAGAGTCCTGGCTGTGGAGACGGATCACATGGATTCAGAACCTTCCTCATGACCAAGTGGCATGGCCTTGGGCTTTTCACTTCCTCATCTGTACTCCCTGTCAGAGGGGGCTGTAAAGAATCCATGAGATGATGTAGGTAGAATATCAGAACACAACAGGTGTTTAACTAAATCCTTATCACTCCTGGCATTTCTAGGAATCCGAAATCCTGGTGACACCAAACCCCTCTGCTCCACCCCTCCCTATGCCTGGGTGGTGGATACTCTTGACCCCACCTGCTGATGCCTCTTTCCTACCCTTCTTTTCCTGCTTCTTTGTCACCTCTCCCTCCTCATGGGGCCCCTAGCTCCCAGTTCTCAGTCCATCTGACTGGCCCACAAGACTCCTCCAGATTAATTTGAGATCTACCTCCCTGTCCCTCTGTCGCACTGTAGCTCCAGAATCTCTCATGGGTCCCTTTTGCCGGCCAGGCTGGCTGAGTGTTCTACACCCTTTATCCCTGACCCACACCACCAGCATGGCTTTCTGGAGGAGGTGATGACTACTGGCTGCAATGCCCTGGACTGGGCCTGAACACAGTGCCAATGCTTGAACACACTGTGACCTGATCAACACTGCAGTGCTGTCTTAGTGGCAGACTAACAAGACCTTTTACTTACCTATTCTGATGATATCATAGGTGCTGTTCTCCTGTGTTTCATCTCCCAGGATGTCATCTTCTTCCTGTGTTAGAATCATGGGATGTACCTTGTCTCTCGGACACCATGCAGGCTCAGAGTCAGAGGCAGCTCGAGGTCTTCTCACAACATCCAAATCCCCATCTTCATCCAGTTGAGCTCCTGCCCCTTCCTGGCCAGTGGCATCAGTGCTGGCCTGGAGGGGAGAGCCCTCACTGCTGCAGCTACTCCCAGGAGGGGACCCAGGGCTGCCTGCCCCAGCCAGAGTCTCCTCTGTAGGAACATCTCTATAATCGCCACCCTCAGTCCTCAAGTCTATCTGAGAATCTTGGCTCCACACAAGCTTGAAATGGGACAGAAAAACTGCAAGACAAAACACAAAAGGAGAATATTTCCAGATGTCTTCTTTTTCTCTTCTCTTCCAGAAAACTTGATTTCTGATAAAGAGTTTTAATGGCAGATGGAGACATAGAAGCAGAAGAGGCCACTCGATTCAGCCATGACACCGGGGCCACCAAAAGCAGCCACAACTACCACTGAGAGCAGCTTCCATTTGATGAGCATACACAGTGAAGGCACTCGGCCCACATTATCTCATTTAATCCTCGCAGCTACTATGAAGTCTCTAGACTGAGCCTTAGAAGTTAAGGCAAAAGTATAAGACAAAACTATACAACTTTGAAGGTGGCTGAGGCTGAGGTAAAACTAAACCTAGTTTGCTCAATTCCTTAGCTGATGCCCTTCTCAACACAATATTCTACTTCTCAAGGTGTGCGGGATAGGACAAGGATACCAAGTATCCTTTGCCAGGAAAGTGTCAGTAAGAGTATGTGTGCCAGGAGAGGAAGGCTGGAGGTAGGAGCTACAAGAACTTGAGTGGACAGTCCTAGGCTGGAGTCCTCCATTTTCCCAGGCTGTCTGACCCTGCGTGAGTCACTTATCTGTTCTGGTCTGAGCCTCAGCTTCTAGAATCTGGGAATCCAAATTGAGACACGAAAAGCATTATGCTGAGTGAAATAGGCCAGGCGTTGAAAGACAAATACCACATGATCTCACCTTTAACAGGAAGCTAAACAACAAAACAAACAAGCAAGCAGAATAAAAACAAAGACACTGAAATAGAGAATAAGTGGGCCGTGACCAGAGGGGAGAGGGAAGGGAATTTAAGGGGGAAAATGGGGAGGGATTTGGAGGAACAAGTATGGAAGACACAGGGACGAGAACTAGGGGGGGAGGAAATGGGAGGGAGGTGGGGAGCACGGGGTGGGGGGGGGCTGGGATGGGAGAAATAGACAAAAAATTGTACTTGAAAAATAACTAAATAAAAAAAAAACAAACTGAGACATGAAGGAAAGGGAATTATTAGTCACACCAGAATAACAAGCTAATACATGGTGACGGTAGCTAAGGCAGGTGGCCAAGGAAGGCCTGTCTGACATGACATCTCAGGAGCCAGGGCTCCGAGGAAAGATATTCTGGTCAGTGAACAGCAAAAGCAAAGGCACTGAGGGATGAAGATGTGTGCAGTGTGTAGGGGGGCACAAAGGAGCAGAAAGTGGCCACAGAGCAGTAAGGAAGAGGAAAATAACTGTGGACACACAGGCAGGGACTGGTTTGAGCTGGGCCTTACAGGCCAAACTGAGGTGTCTGATTTTATTATAAGAGCAAGGGGAAGCCACCGGAGGGTCTAAATCAGGGCAGTGATGTGATTTGATTTGATTTACACTTTCAGGAGATCCCCTTGGCTTCTGGGGATATGAGTGGGGGAGACTCCAGGAGAAAAGCCAGGGAGCCCTGGTGGGAGGTGCTGGAGGTAGCCAGCAAGGGATGAAGTGTGCTGGACTAGGGTAGTGGGGATGGAGGGATGTGGGCAGATGGGGCCCCAGTGTCCTTTCTCCCTTTAGGACTTCAGGCTCCCTGAGGCAGAGCTCCACCCATTCACTTTTGCTTTTCTAGCATCAAGTCTTGGGCCTGCCACAAAGCAGGAACTCAGTAAAGCAGTTTATTCCATGAAAGAAGCACTTAAGAAGTGTTGTGACAGTAACAGTTAATCTAGTCTTCTAATCTTTTTCCACAAAATGAGTACAAGAAAACAAAATGGGATCCACAGGGTGCTGGGTCCCTCCACACACACCAGGACCTTACCAGGCTGCCCTGTGCTGTTCAGGCGCACCATCAGGTGTCTCTGGTTGGGGGTGTAGAGGTGGACGTCTGAGAGCACAGTGTCGCTTTTGAAGGTGACCTCATCCATGGTTGGGGTGGGAACCAGCTACCATGGCCCGGGCTCCACATTAATCCCAGAACAGCAACCCCTGAGAGATGACAACAGGTCTTCAGGACAGGAGGTACCAAAGGAGGTAGTGTACAGTAAACATACCCCAGCTAGGGGGTAAAAAGCTTTGTATCACCTGGGGCAAGTGCTTTCCTCCTCAATTGTTGTAATTTTTCCTAAAGGAGAACGTCTCCGAGCCTGGGCAAGGGAATAGAATCCAGCTAGAATTGTGTTATTTGACTGTACTGTGTTTATTTTCATAGTGCTTGTACTGTGTTTATGGCATAAAGTTTTCTTTCCCTTTTAATATTCTCAAACTTTATAGTGAAGATTTTCAAGCAGACACGAAAGTTGAGAGTAGAGCATATAAACAACCATATACTCACTGGTTAGATCGAGTCAATGATGATCAACATCGTGTCACTTGCGCTCGCTCTGTGACTGAGGAGTAGGGCTTCAGGTCCGTGGCAAGGCTTCAAGACCGGGCTTGGTGCCGGGAGAACCCCCGCCCCCTACCAACTGTCTCATCGTAACCCGTCCCGCCGCCTCCCCGGAGCTTACCAGCTACAGGCCGCAAGGAGTCCCGCTCCCACTTGCCGCAAGAGTCAGACGGCTGCCTAGGTAGGAAGTCTGCGCAGGCGTGGCCCCACCCCCTGTGCGTGCGCCGGACCTCCCAGCCCCCCTGGCCACGCCCACGTGCTCTTGCTGCGCAGGCTTGCCGGGACTGCGGCCCGCAGGTGCAGTCCTAGCTCTGGCCTTGGAGGAGATGCTATTCTCACCTTCCCGTGTTAGCTGGGCTGGCATGCCTCGTTGAGCCGGGTCTGTGTGTGGGAGGTCGTGAAAGAACGCGCCCGACGTTACCCAGCTGCTCAGAGGCTTTGATTCCAACTCGGGTAAAAGGGCTTTAGAGCATGTGCCGTTAACCAGTATGACAGCTATTTATTATTGTAGTCATCCATTATTTATAATAGCTGGTAGTTATTTCATTCATCCATCTATTCATCAAGTCCCCAGTCCCAGGGAATTAAAAATCTCAGTCTTAATTGGAGTCTAATAGAAAATGAAATCCGATACAAATGTTTTACTTCAAGTGAACTTCCAAGCACATAGGGCTACTGATGTAAAACGTGTTTGTGAGCGCAAGCGCACACACACAGCACTTCAGCTGGCATTTTTGGACCTTGATTATTCTTAAGTGGATTTATCTTTCCAGACAAAAGAAGGTCAACATCAATTTCGCAGTTACTGTGGATAAAATACGGTGGCGGGTTGGGGGTTGTTTGATAGAGAACACCGATTTTTTTTTTAAGCGAACAGATTGTGTTTCCTGAACTCGCATTACACGGAGAGCCAGCGGACCATCTTGACAATCTGTTGTACTTCTGGTCCAGTTGTTCCCAGGGGAAGTCGCTGCTAGGAGGGCATGGAGGAAGGTGGCTTTATACATTCCTGAGTCACAGTTATTTACAAGCCACTCTGCTGGTCCCTCCACCAGTAAGTTCTTCCTTTATTCACTCAACCACTCCTGAGGTTCAGAAAGGTGAAGTGCCTCTTATTCCAAGTCACGGATCCTTGAGCAGCAGAGCTGGGATGCAGACTCAGGTCTCAGAAGCCTCACAGTGAGTCTGTTGGATGGAGCCTTAGAGTGAAAGGCTTTTTTAGCAGTGCAAGCTGGTGTCTTCCTCTGAGAGTCTCCTCCAAGGCTTGGAGATGCAAGGGTTATGGTGTTAACACAATGCTGGAGTGTACATTACCACAGCCACCTGGGCTAATGATATCATGTATGTAACTAAGGGAAGGTGGACAAACTGCCAGATGTGTGTGTCAAGAAGCCGGCTTGCAGAAAATTTGTTATCAGGTGATTTTTATTAGCTTGGATAGTCAAAACAGCCTCTTCTTCAAATGTTGTATGTTTACCAAAGGCTTGATGTGTTTTCCTAATCAGCCCTGGAAGATTTTGTCTTGGAGAGAGCTCTTCCCCTAGGACTGCTGAAGGCAGGAAGTTATAATCTGTCCCCTGCCTCACACCAGCTTCTAATAGCAGTAGCTGCAAATGCACAGGGATTGCCTTCCTGGTTCCTGGTTCTGTGTGGACAAACGCCAAACTGACCCAGCTCGGTCACTGATTCATCATATCCACTCATTCAATACGTGATTGTGGAGAGCTTTTCACGTGCTAGGTACTCGGGCAAGTTACCTTACTTTTCTGAAATTTAATTTTATAATTTTTCGAGTATTAATTTTAATACCTACTTTGAAGTGTTGTGTGAATGAGATATAACATGTGGAAAGTTCCACACACAACTGATCAGATGATATGTGGTGTATTTTTAAAAAACCCACCAATTAACCACATTAATTTTACTAAATCATATTGTTAGATTTTTTTAAAGACCAAGTTAGTGTCACAATACTGTAGAATATCAGTTACATAAGAGAAAAAAATTCACGAAACACTATGTTTTCTCAGGACATGCATGTTATGTAAATGCACAGAGGAAAGTCTGGAAAGATGACTTCAAACTGACACAGTTTCTTCCTGGGAGGGGTCCGGAATGGGGGTAGGTCCAAGAAGACTTAGTTTAATTTTTAAAGAGATGCATTGTTTTACAGGCATATTTAGAAATTTATTTACAATGAAATTACAAAGGGGTTTTCACTAGTCAAGTGTGGGACAAGATGAGAGTTGAAATTAATAGAGTCAGGAATAAAATAATAAACATTATCTATATAAAAGGCACTCAAACAAATGGACCTTTGTCCCTTTGGACTGCTCTATCAGACATCATAGACGTATGGTTTGTAAACAATAGAAACTTAATTCTTGCAGTTCGAGATGTGGTAGGTCCAAGAGCAGGGTGCCAGCATGGTCAGGTCCCGGTGAGGCCCTCTGGGATTGACACAGATGTTTGCAAGAACACTACAACCTTGCACACAAATGTGTTTAAGGAAGGTAGAATAGCAAAAAAGATGAAACGTCCCAAATGTACATCAGCTGAAAAATGGATAACTAGAATGTGGTAATCCATGTAATGGAATATTTTCCAGCTGTAAAATGGAACAAAGTTCTGATACATGTTACAATGTGGATGAACCTTGAAAACATGATTTGAAGTGAAAGAAGCCTCCCCACCCCCGCAAAGGTCACATATTGTGTAACTCCATTCATGTGAAATACCCAGAAAAGGTAAATCCACGGAGGCAATAAGCAGATGAGTGGTTACCAGGGCCTGGGGGATGGGAGGATAGGGAGTGACTGCTCAGTGGGTGGGAAGTCTTCTTTTGGATGGTGAAAATGTCTGGGAGCTAGGTAGAGATGGCAGTGGTAGAACATTGTGAAAGTGAAAGATGCCACTGAATTGTACAGTTTTTTTAAAAATGTGTTTTATTTATTTATTTTTAAAGATTTTATTTATTTATTTATCTTTAGAGGGGAAGGAGACAGGGAGAGAAACATCAATGTATGGTTGCCTTTCATGCATCCCCTGCTGGGAACTGGCCTGCAGGGAACCGGTCTGCAACCCAGGAATATGCCCTGACTGGGAATCGAACTGCAATCCTTTGGTTCGCAGGCCTGTGCTCAATCCACTGAGCTACACCAGCCAGGGATGAATTGTACAGTTTAAAATGGTAAATCTTATGTGAATTTTACTTCAATAAAAAATCCATGAGTTCACAATGATACTAAAATAAAAAATTTAAAGAAAGGGGGTGGATGGAAGGCTGCAATGAAGAACTGTAGAAAGATGGATAGATACAGAAATGTATTCTTTAAGTCACCATAAAATGAATGATCTGGACAAAAGGCTTTGATGGATATTAAAGCCTTTGGGAGGGAGACTGCTGTGGGACAGGATATTCACACAGGCCCTCACCTGACCACACTGGCACCCTGATCTCAGATTTGTAGCCCCAGGACTATGAGCAGTAAATTTTTGTTGTTTATAAGCAGCTTGAGTAGGCGAAGATGAGATATAACTTATATACCATAAAATCCATCATTTAAAGTATACAAATGCATGGATTTAGTAAATTCACAGGTTGTACAGCTATCACCACTATCTAATTCCAGAACATGTTCATCACCCCCAGACAAAAGCTATACCCGCTGGCATTTGGTCCCCATTGCTCTTCTCCCTGGCAACCATTATCTACTTTTGTCTCTATGGACTTGCATCCTGTGATATTTCATATAAATGGAATCTTATAATATGTACTGTTTTGTGTTTGGCTCCTCTCACATGGCTGAACTTGTTTCCAAGTTTCATCCATGTTGTAGCATGTATCAGCACGCAATTCCTTTTTAACAGTCAAGTAATATTCCATTATGTAGACAAGCCTCATTTATTTATCCATTCATTAGTAGATGTAAATTCGGGTTATTTCTACTCTCTAGCTATTATGAACAATAGCACCATGAACATTCATGTAAAGTTTTGGTTGGATTAAGTTTTCATTTCTCTTGGCTACATACCTAAGAGTGGAATTGCCAGGTCCTGTGATATAACTATGTTTAACTTTTTGAGGAACTACCAGACCATTTTCAAAAATGGCTGCACAGTTTGACATTCCCTCTAGCTGAGTGTGAAAGTTTAATCTTCTTGGGAAACTCTTGGGACCAGTGTAAAAGGGGCGAGGGCACTGGAGTGTTTGAACACCAAATCTCACAGTCATTGGTAAAGGCTACTAATTATTGCAATACTTCATTTTCTGCTTGGCTGTGTGTGAGCAGAGTGACTCCAGAGAAAGCCTTCTGATGCTGCCAGTGGGAAGTCAGGCCTGTGCCCATGGAGTGGTAGGAGAAGGGGACATGCTGCCATACCACCTGCTACTATTGTTCCTGTGAACTATTCCAGGATTACCCAGCCTGTCTTTGCATCCTCCAAAGGGCTGCGGATGGCCCGCTGCAGTGTTCAAACTGCACAATTTAGGGTCTGAAGTGGGATGCAAGTTACCCTCCAAATTTTTTGTCCACTTGGATCTCCGAATGTAACCTTATTTGGAAATACAGTCATACCTTGGTACTCGTAGGCTTCGGAACTCATCAAACCCTGTACTTGTTGCATTTTGACAAGAAGAAAATGTTTCAGCACTGAGTGCTTGCTTGGGACTTGGCACACTTACTAGAACTCTGAGAGTCACGATGCCTCCCGGCAAGAGAAGATGCTTCATCGGGCAGTACCCATCCGTTCTGGCACTTGTTATGAGTTCTGGAATGGATTAATAAGTACCCATGTGCTGCTGTAGGACCTCTGTGGATGTAATTAATTGATGATCTTGAGACAAAATCATCCTGGATTTAGGGTAGGCCCTAAATCCAATGACAAGTGTCCTTATACAAACAGGAGGGGATGCAGAGAGAAGAAGGCGATATGAAGACAGAAACAGAAATTGGACAAGCCAGGGAGCACCAAAGATTGTGGGGAATGCCAGAGGTGAGAGAGAGGCAGAGGCCTCGAATAGATCTTCCCTCAGAGCCTCCTGAGAAAACCAACGCTGCTGACACCTGGGTTTCAGACTTCTGCCCCCAGAACTGTGAGAGAATAAATTCCTGT